AGTGATCAGTACGTCACGCTTTCTATTCATTCATAACTGACATAAGTGATCAGTACTGATTACTGCAGTGTTCCAGCAGTACTCTGGTGGTGACAACAGTGAAAGAGGGGTCGATTTTGAATGTATGGCTGTCAGCAGCTGAGGACAGCTATTTATTTACACAGAAGAGTCAGGGGGACCCTTTTGTTATAAGTTTATGGCTGATAAGGGGACCATGAGCTTTTAGCAGAAGGGTGAATGCAGCCGGCGTAAGGTATACAGAGCTGGCAAGTTGGAAGCAGTTCTGTACCGCCATATGCCTTACGCTGGTGGCAGTTAAAGGGTAACTTATTTAATTTTTGGGTAGCATTGTATATGTCAAGCACCCGGAAGACACTGGGCAATTGAGATGACCAGTAACCGACCCCTGGCCTCACCACACATCTCCATACTCCCCTTTACTTCAGTCCAAAAAGGCACCAATGCTTAATATTTATTTTAGCACTATTACCTTTAGGCTAGCACTTCAACTGCATTTCTTAACATTAACCACTACACAGATAGAACCAAAATGTAACACAATGACCATGTGTTAGCAAATAAAGTGTCTCTCCAGGTAAAGATGAAAACATTCCTAATATGCTCATGTTTTCATTCTTAAATAGTTACAAAGAAAATACTTGGTGATCCAGCTGTTTCCTATGATTATACCATTATTTCTGCTGCCAGGCCGACAACCTTATTCAGCCACTATTTAAATGGCTCATCCCCCAGCGCGGTCAACAGGAGGTGTTGAAGGGACTGGATAGCTTTACAGCCTCCCAAACTGTTGCGCGTCGGCTCAACAGATCGGGAAGTGAGCAAACACATACCATCACTCGCTCACTTCTCGATCATCTCCCTGCAGTAAGCAGTGACTGCCACTCACGGCTCCCTGCAGGGATTCCCCCCCCCCCTCCGATCCTCCAGCGACGTCTGGAGGAATGAACAGGGGATGGGGGGTACAGCTGGCTCTGCCTCTAGATAGGCAGAGCCAGCTGTCAATCACACAGCTGGGTGGATCCCGACTGCGGCAGTCTCAGTATACTGCGAGTTGTAGCTCGCTATATACTGAGCTTAGGGTAACGGGAGGACGCTAGTATATGTCCTCCCGTGACCCTTAGGAGAACAATGGGGAAAAGCACTGACCCCATAGTCCTCCTTTAAATATTCAGTTTCGAGGTTTATTCGCATTTTGGATTGACAGAGCACTGTAGTTCAATAATAAAATGAATCCTCAAAAATACAACTTGCCTAATAATGGTGCACAGTGTATATATGTCTATATGGTTAAAGCATACAGAAGTTTTCCCCATGCCACTCCAGAAGACTCCACACCTCATAGTCACATCTATGGTGCTGGCTCAGCTCCACTGAATCAGTTTGACCATCTACAGCAGGGATTGCCAAACTCTGGCCCTCCAGCTGTGGTGGAACTACGAATCCCATGAGGCTTTGCAAGATTCTCACAGCCACAGACATGACTCCCGGAGAGAGATGCTTCATGGGATTTGTAGTTTAACCACAGCTGAAGGCCAGTTTGGCCAGCCCTGATCTACAGGAACACTGTACACCGAGATGCAAAATTATATTCTCTCTTTGAAATAGTGTTATGCCTGGCACGAAACGCGTCAGCAAGGAATTTGTTCTTGCTGGCAATCTGAAGGGTATTTTCACATTCTCAGGAAAAAACTAAGAAAACCCCACTATATCTTTGTTACGAGTTCCTATTCACATAGCATATCGAACAATTTAAAAAATAAATAAATATTTCTTACCTTTAGATCTCCGTTTTGCAGGCCTTTGCAAGCTTCTATCTCAGTTGCAGTAACAGGAAACTCTGACTGTCCGAATAGAAAGGCTAAGGGCTCCCCCCAATTAACATGCAAGCTTCTAGATGTTTCAAGAATTTCAGGAAAATTTTTTGATTAAGCCTTGTAGGGGGGCTACCCCTCCCCCCCC